GTATGACTCCCTTCTTTTTAAGATAACAGCATCCACGGAAGAAGGAAGAACTTAAATCTTGTATTGATTAAGCGAAAAGACCGATAGTAGCGAGCCTTTTGAAGGCCTTTCCGGTATCCATCCTCTTAGAAAAAAATGCCCTTGTACGTGTCATTAAAAGATGCGTTTCAGCGAAAACACTAGAAGCTTCTTCTCGAAGAGTTTGCTACCACTTCATCGGCCCTCTATGTCATACCTCTAAAGGTGCGATGCCGATAGAACTCTATCCATAGATGACCTCGTTGAGGTTCGTAGATAGCGAAAAGGGAAGAAATTAGGTTCAAAGATAAGAGCGGTCCGGGTCTTTCTTTAGTTTTCCCGGAGGAAGCAACTGATTGAGCTGCGCTAACGTTAACGTTTTCTTGCATGACAGCGAATGCTGTTCACACGGGAACTCTTCCTTTCTTGCAGAACCTCAGCTGCTGAGCTCCGCTAGTCTAAGTATACTAACTTAGCTTATTAGCCGTCACTCTATGACTTGTAGACACTGCCTCCCAAAGAGAGTAAGTACTTCTATCAACCACAGGCTCCCTAGGCTTGGTTTCTGGCTTTTTTGAAGTAGTATCCCATTCCTGTATGCCTTCCTGCGGGATTTCCTATTCATCTTTTCATATCATATAGTCATATAAAGGGATATCTTTAAATCCTGGTCCAGTTGAGGTTGAAGGTGCGAAAGAAGTTTTTCAGGTACGTCTTGTTATGGGCCTATGGATTCTTTAAAGACTACGCACTAAAAGGGAGAAAGTGAACCCGGCGTTCCTCTCTTTCTCCCGATTCTTATTACGTTGAGTAAGGGAATAAAGCACTCACTAGAACAAAAAGCAGAAGCGCCTGTTGGTATATAAATGGATTTGTCAGCTACATGGAAAATCCCATTCCTTAGCTGAGGCAGGCATACCGACCTGATGCCGATGCGTTCATAATTCACTAGACAAAGCGGCCTAGATTGCAAGTTTTGACCACGGAGTAGGGATACGCTTTAAACTTTCATTCTTATGGCTGGCCGATGATTCGCTTCAACTCCTTAAGGCTTAGTTGTTCAAAGATGGACAGTCATAATAGATAATATAAGCTTGAGCCTTCCCTTCACTCGGGCTATGGCTTCGACCGGAAAAGAAGTTGATTTTGAAAGATACTTTTTGTGCCGTATCCTCGCCTCAAGTTGACAAGAGTATTATCTAACGTAACGTAAGGAGATCTGCCGGTTCAGATTGCTAAGATCTCAAGCAAGACGCTGAGAGTTCTGGCTTTTCACCTTAGCCTTTTTAAGTAGCCTGCCTTTCTTACCTCTCTTTAGCCCCATTGTAGGACCTATTTTAAAGTTCCATTCCAGTTTCCAGTCTTGCCTTGTTGGCACCCCTTCGCCATAACATAAAGTCCAATATGATCGGAAATGCAAATCTTTAGCTCTACTAAATGAGTTAGTCTTGGCTTCTTCTTCCTTTATGGAGAAAGGGCAAGAGCCCACCATACTTGGATAACGAATTCATACGTAAGATGCCCAGTTGGATCACTAATTCGTTGCTAGATCTCTGCTCTCTTCATTTCTGATTTCGCGGCGCTAGGTACCGAAAGCTTCAGTCAACACAGTCCTATCTACTTCTGTTCACGAGACTTCTTGTACTTTACCTATATCAAGAGCGATTTCATACCGGAGCATAAGGATATAGAGTTTCGGAAGCTTTGAAGTTTAAGCTAAGCTATTTAGAGAAAGACCGGAGGAAAGATCTGACTTGAAAGAATGAATGTAAAAACTTGCGCTGTCCCCTCTTCCTCCTCTAGGATTCCCCTTGCCGGGAGAACTGTTCTGGGCAACCCTATGTCTTTATTTATTAAAGAACTCTGGGAAAAAAAGATTCTTTTACCGAATTGCTTTGAAAGTTGCTAACTCGGATGTTGTCTCCTAGTTGCTCCCTATTCTCGAACTGGAAAATTTTTCTTCTTCTTCTTACTATACCTCTCTAGTCTTCTCTTCCTATTCATTCTCTTTCTGTTGCCTATGCATTCTAGGCTAGGCTTATGTATTACTATTCTCTCGGATCTCTGGGCTTATGGATAAGGAGACAGGAGATTCGGTTACACAATTCAATTGAGCAATAGCATCCGATTCAGTGGGGGCAGACCCTTTTGAACCAGACGCGACGGGAAGACGCTCAGGAGACATCAGACGAGTCAGTAAAGAATCCTCAGGCCTAGAATGCCCAGTTCGAGTTATGGCCAGCTACGGGTCTTCTAAAGAGTACTATCCCGTAACGGAGCTTATTTACTAACTTTCCACATCCTATGTATATGAATACAATTCAGCTACAAGAGATGAAGTGGTAAGCCCGCTTATCTATTTATCTTATTATCTTAAGCGATAGCAGACTTTTCGGCTCGGTGAAAGAGGTTGTCTCGTCCAACCAAAAGAAAGCGCTCACCCCATCTTATTCGCCAGATCCGCTTATCTACTTCTTTGTCGGCGGCTCTTAGTTTCATAGCTTGTACCGTTTCCTCGAGCTGTTTCTGTTGTTTAAGAACAACTTGGATGAGTTTCTCTTGCTCAATAAGACGGCTACGGTTCTCCTCTCGTAGGCGCTTACAGCGCTCCGACAAAACTTCATTAGTTTCAGAAGAATGTGGGCGATCAAGAGTGAGTATGAGCTGATAGACATTGGCTGTGGTTTTTTCCTTGTCAAGTTCACGTGTCCATATGATCTGCAGTTTGCATTAGAAGAAGGGCCATGGATGATTTTTGGCCATTACTTGACGGTGCGTAAATGGACCCCAGAGTTTCGGCCAAGCATCGCTAGTATTGATTCCACTGCTGTATGGGTTCAGTTCCCTGGTCTGCCTATTAGGTACTATAATGATAGGATGTTGTTATCCATGGGTAATACATTGGGAAGGGCTTTGAAAGTTGACCAAAACACTAGATTTGCATCGAAGGGGAGGTTTGCTCGGGTCTGTGTTGAGGAAAATTTGAATAAACCCCTTGGTCCAAAGATTTGTATTGATGAAGTTTGGCAGCCAGTAGAGTATGAGTTCCCGGAGAAGAAGAAGGAATGCATGCAGCTTTTTGAGGATCCATACTCTAACAATTAAGCAAGTAAACTACCTTGAGAGAAGGTATATCTCGTTCCCTCTCTTGCTTTCACTTTCTTCTATTCCTGACTTAAAAACCTAACCACCTTACCCACAAGGGTACGGTTACCAGGAAATGAAGTGAGAGACCTTATAGTTATAGAACTCCTTTCCTATTATAGGAACTATTGCTAGTTCTCTCTTTACACCCGATGACTTACTTGACATCAACTACCTCCTCTCCATACAATTCATTCTGGTAAACTATCAGGATCAAAGATAAGAGATAAAAGAAGAATTATGGTACTGAACATAACAGGTTGGACACGGACACCTACAACTCCTAATACTGCTTAAGCAAACCAAGGACAAACAAGAGCTACCTTCAAAGATGGAGTGATCTCTATTGTTTCCGGTTTAACTTAGAATAAAGATAAAGTATATAAAGCATATTCATCCCTACTATCAAGTCGTAGTCATCTGCAAATAGGGCGTATTGTAAGATACCTATAAATAAGGTACTGAGACTAATGAATGACTGAATCAATCACAATCTTTTCATCAACTACCTTACCTTGCACCCTATATCCCAACCTTGTTCTCATACGGCCTTTCAACAGAACTTTACAGAGGGAAGCTACTACTACACCTCTATCTATATATAGGGAGAACATACTCTAATATCAAATAGAAAAGGTACAGACTTAACTTTCTTCCCTTATTCCTTCCGGATGCCTATCATAGTTCCTACTTTGAAATCTCGCAGGAGAATAAAATAGTAGAATCCACTAGGGATTCTATCTGGACTGAAACAGTCTCAGTTAACTGAGACTGAGAATAAAGAAAGAGAACAGAGAATAGGGTGGATTGAAAGAGAGAACCAGAAATGAAATAGCGAGACCAAAGGAATGAGTTACAAGGCGAATTGTAAGCCCCAACGAGAAAGTTTCCTACGGGCATTTTCGGGGACTAGCCTCCTTCCTTCTTGTTCTTTTATTTTCTCTTTTCTGGTTTTTTGATTCTCTTCCTATTTTTCAGGAACTGCTTTCAAGGGTCGGGTTCTCTGTGGTATGGCGAACCTTATATCACTCGATACTCAAGGGCTGCCCCGGCAGTCTTCTTTTTTTCTTCGTTTTAATGGCGGGGGCCGCCATAAATGCCGAGGCTGAATTAGCTAAAATGATGGACCCTTGGCGCTCTGGTGCCCGGGGCGGCTTGCCTGATCTAAACGAGCCCCCACCGCCTATAGACGAAGAATTAGAGGAGAATGCAGATGCTGCCCAGGCCCCCAAAATAATAAGCAAAGCTTCCCTGGACTCCTCAATATCCAAATTGGAGAATTTTCTTCGAGCAAAAGACGAAGCAGAGGCTTCTGGTTCAGGGGGGCTTACCACCGCTGCTTCTGAAGGTAAGGAGGATATTCTTCGTTGGGGATGCTTTAATCATTTAATAATGGAACTAAAATACTGTGGCGACGACAACGGAATGATTCATAATCACGCAAAATGGCGCGCTGCCTGCTTAAAGGTAGTCACACTGGAAAATACAGACTTGAATTATCTTAGAAATATGCGTTCAGAGCTAAAGGAAAAGGGCGTGGAAAGCCCGTTATTCAAAGAAGTTGTCAAAGCCTTAGTCAAACAGGGGGTGGGACGCAGTTCTTAAGAGAAGAATGCCGAAAAATAGGAAGAGAATCAAAAAACCAGAAAAGAGAAAATAAAAGAACAAGAAGGGTTCCTATCATAATGCACGAATACATCTTATTCCGGCTTGGCCGTTTGTTTTTGTGGAAAAAAAAATCAAAGAAATTTGACCATGTTTCCCGAGCCGAGAGAGGCCGCCTTTTCTCAGGCCAGCAGTAGATATGTCTTTGTCCCTGTGAGGGACTACGCCGATCTTTATATGTTTTGGCCATGTCCCTTTCTGCTCCGAAGAAGAAGGTTTGGATCTTTCAATCTTATGTCGTGAGGGATGTGACCTATGTTAGGTCCATAAAATACCACAGCTTTTAGTGTTCTATGATTCACCTCCGAATAATGAGTGGGTAGTTCGATCCTTTTGATTTTTCTCTTCATAGTAAACTGATGGGGGGATGCAGAGCAATAAGTCGATTTACTATAGAAAGAAGAGTTGTAAACTATAGGACTTATTGTTCGAGTAGGAATATTTCGGTTTTTCTCGTTCCTTCTCTTCGATAAGAAGAGGGATTTGAAATGATACAAATCCCTCTTCATTCTGTTGTGCTCAGCGAAAGAACTACCTAAGCATACTTTTTTGGATCCAAACTTTTTTGTTTTTTCTAAGTCTTCCTTTTGCATAGAAGAACGCAACTGTTGCAAAACCGGGTATTTTAGTAGTAGGCGGCGTCCCCTCTTAGTTTTGAGTAGAGGTAACCATTCTGTTTTGGTTCTTCTCCACATTCCTATCGGGTGATTGCCTATTATTTTTTCAATTGATATTTCAATATAGAAAAATCTTTTTATTTCTTCACCGTACGCATCATTTTCTTGAAAAGATATTATATCACCGTGGGAAACTTTAAAATGAGTAATGCTTACCATTCCATTATTCACACAAACCCTTCGATGACTTATCGGCTGCCTTGCTTGAGGAATAGTTTCACGAAAATGAAGACGAACCGGAATAACGTCCGATCTTGTTTCTGGATTGAGTAGAAAAGGGATATATGAAGTTCGTTCTGTTCTTCTGTGCATCTCTGTGATGGGTAAATCCCCATAAAAAAGGGACAACTTGCGTGTAGTTTGTAATTGGATGTAACTGTTAAGATTTTTTCTCGAATAAATCTTTCTCTTAATAGATCTCTTCTTGTTTCTCAATCTTCGGAGAATGCGGCGTTGTATTATTGTAAGTTTTCTGTTCCAAACATTTTCTGAAAGTAGACGACAAGTTTTAAATCTTAATGCGGGCACGTCATATCTCGTTGAATCGGGGTTTTCGCCACATCGCGTATAACGGGAATCGAACCCCCTCTGCTGCTGGCGGGCGGATGGAAAATTTACGACTTCTATTTAGCAATTTGTTAAGAGTAGGTTTTGTTTTGGCTTGCCTCTTTCTTCGTATTAGTATAAAATAGGTGCTTAATGTCCTTT